GTTTTCTTGCTAAACTAACATTAGTCTATGTTGCTAACAGGGATTACGCTAACAGCCCCACACACAATTACACAGTTTTACTCACTCAGATTTGAGTCTTTATTCTCCAAACTTGCCTCAGTGTGGCCTCAGTGAGCCAAAGTGAACCTGTGTGGTTGTGTGTAAAGCTTAGGCCTTCAGCAAAGCTAATGCTAGCTTTGTGACCCAAAAGTAGCTTAGGCTAGCAGCTCCACACTCAAATACACAGGTTTACTCACTCAGATTGGAGTCTTCGTTCTCCAAACTTGCATCACTGAGGCTTCAGTGAGCTAAAATGAACCTGTGTGTAAAGCTAAGGCCTTCTTGCTAAGCTAACCCCAGTTAGCAAGCATAGTTCGGTCCGCTGGCTTGATAAGGTCGCCGCCCCACTGACTGTTTGCCACTGTTAGTCCACCCTCGGACCTCCCAAATTACTGTCCTGCATACAAGAGTAACTAGTTTTTAATCTCCTCCTTTAAATGCACAGAGACTTTTATTTTAGAAAACAAACTTAGACAAATATTACAATCAACTGAGAGAAAAAAAAAAATCACTAGGCCTGATATAAAATGATTTTATAGAAAATGTTGCATATGATTAAAATTATTTACTAAACTAATGTACAAAGTATAACTAAAGAAAGGAGGGAAGGAAAAATCAGTAAATTGGATTGTGAGTGGAAAATGAGCGATGATAAGTGGAATTTTGTCTAATGCTTCGCTTAACCACCAGGGGACCGCCCGGAAAACGCTGAGCAAAACTGCCAGTGGACCACCAGCTTTGCCATCAGTGGGCTGACCGTGTTCCACTATCCTCTCACTATCAGAGATGCTAGCTTTGTGGAGCAAAAGTAGCTTGTGCTAACAGCTCCACACACAAATACATAGGTTTACTCGTTTAGAGTTGTGTCTTTATTCTCAAAATTACATCAGTAAACTTTAGCGCACTGGAGTTATGAGGCTAAATGCAAGTAATGGGAGCTTAACTAACTGCGTACCTAAATCATCACACACTTGATCAAAAGTGTGTTGAGTGTTAACTCAAATAGTCTTGCTTACATAGTTTGTGACACTGTTTGACATACTGTTATCTATAAAAATGGACAGAAGTACATAGCATAGTCAAAAACAGTGGTAGCAGCCAACTTAAGCCTGAGTTTTGTACAAACCTGTTTTATAAATGACAGATTATTGTACAGGTAACATGAATGCTCATGAATTCGTATTAAGTATATTGTCTGTGAGTCAGTTACGCTCATGAATGACATAAATGAATAAATACGCAGATGATAATGCGTTAAGTAGTTGGTATTCTGCTGCTGTGCACTCGCTGTGTAAATGAGGACACAAACCTGATATGTGTGTACATGCAGAGGAATGTGTAAATCAGCTGGGCTTGCACTGTGTCATTTTAACAGCGGCACAATCTAAATTCCAGTCCAGGTTCTTTTTTTTCCTCATTTTTAACTCTACAGCTTGTCAAATCAGCACATATAAGTGCAAGAATGCTCAGACAAACTATAAATGATACATCCAATTGTATATCTGTAGTAATCTAGGGGTTAAACCAGCGGCCCCCACCTCAAGAGGAGCAGCCCCAGTTAGCTGATTGTAACTGAGTCTCGTACAGTGGATAGATTAGTTAGCTTCTTGTTCTCATTTCTCATTCCACTTTAAAATGATGTAGCAGTTACATTCAGATGCCTGTACAGGCGTTAGTATGTAACTCCTGCACTATTTAAGGTGGAACAAAAATTCAAATAAGGAGTTAAAATCAACCTCAAGACATTAGTCAATGATGGTGTGAATCTGGTGCTGGCAGGTACAAGCAGTGTAGCAGTTTTAACATGCGAATCATGTGATGTGTTCGCCTGGGCAAACACCCTACGCTTTACCAATAAGAGTCCTCGGGCAAGACTCCTAACACTACCTTCGCCTACCTGTAAAAATGATCAAATTGTAGGTCGCTCTGGATAAGAGCGTCTGCTAAATGCCATAAAATGTAAATGTAAATGTAAATGAAGATGGACAATAGAGGTGAGAACTGCAAAAAAACCAAGGTAGCACAGAGAAGACAAGAATCAAAAAGCTGCTTCAGGAGGATGAGGACATATCCGAGCAGGTGGCAGTGAGAAATGGTGACCTCAACTTATTTAGCTATGATTAGTTTGTGGCATATTGACTGTCATAATTATGCCATTTTAGATAGTTTTCATTTCATTACTAGCCACTTTGGTTATTTAAGTGTAGCATGTAAATAATAAACAAGAACAAGAAAAATACATCTTATTCATATTGAAGTGATACATATGTACACATTTGAATCAAGTACATTCAATGCAGCGCTTTTTCCTCTGAATAATTGCAGTGAATAATTCTGTCCAGTGGACAGAAAATTGGTTTCTGAGAGGCTTTAAGAAGAAGGACACACAAAGACCTCTCTGAGGCCTCAGTGCAGTGATGTCATTGATGTGTGTCTAGTTTTCGGTTTCTTCCGCAGCTCTCCCACACCGGACTGGATCCGTTTAATCCACCAGAGAGAAAGAGAGAGAGAGAAAGAGAAAGACGAGTGAAGAGGAGAGAGGGTGAAAAGGACAAACCGAAAAAAAAAACATTCATGAAATATGACCTGTTGACATCCCTTCCCTTTCTTTCTTTTTCTCTCTCTCTCTAAACCCATCTCTCAGTCATTTATTCATTCCCTCTCTTCCTCTCCCCTCTCCACCTCTTTCTCTCTAACCGCCTCTCTCGCTCTTTCATCCATTCATTCTCTCTCCTCTCCTCTCGTCACCTCTCCTCTGGTCTGTTGAACGGTGAATAAAAACCTTTGGTGACCTTGCACCTCTCTCAGCACCATTTCTGATTTCTGACCGCAGACACTGACCACAGTTCTAGGTGTGAAGTGCGGCCTGAAATAACTCAGCATCTTGCTCTCCAGCACATACTCTCTCTCTGTAGCCGCAGTCACACTAGAAACCTGCAGTTTGCGTGACTAAAGTGTGACAGGAAGACTGGCAACGACAAAGAATTGGTGCAGATAGCAGTGACCTTGCATTTCTTGTATTCATCTTGTTTACCTGCCCAGATGGAAATGAACTAGTTAACTGATTCAGTCATTGTCAAACTACACAAAACTAGCCAAGGCTAGCTGTGACCATATGGAAATGCCATAAAGAATACTGCTAGCTCTGAAGCTAGCTAGCTCACCAACCATAAAGAGCAAAAATCAGCCTTCTGACTGTCTGCCTACCATCCTACCTGTCTTTTATATTTTAATTTATAGTCTGCTCTTGGAATATTTATATAAAATGTCATTAGTAACAGTTAAAAATGAACACTTACCCCATTTTACATCTTTAGTTCTGAAGGAACCTTTAGAGACCAAGCAGTTGTGCTTTTGGTCAACAGTGTGAATGTGCTCACCAAAATTCACCTTGGAGCTAAAATGTTGCATGTAAATTTTCATGAAAACAATCATTTCCAATAAAAATAGAATGTCATTTCATTTGTGATATTTAGCTATCAAAAAGCCAGTGGAACTGGGCCTTATTGAGCCACCCTCAACTCGATGTGCTGCCAATTAAGGCTGCAGCTAATGATTACTTGATTGATCGATTAATTTAGCCATTTTGCTCTGTATGGTTTTCCCTCATCTTTCCTGTCACAGCACCACCATCAAAGCTCTTGCAAAAGAAAGTCTTGTTTGTCTTAACGCAGGCCTGCACAGATCAGTTGGCACTAGCTATGCTAATCTTGCAGAAGCAAAGCAGCTGCAGTTTTCACAGCTAGATGCGCTCAGCTGTCTGAGCCCAAAGGTGGCTTGATGTCGTCAGAGCTTAAAGGAATGATTAAATGAAAAAATCTAGTTTTCACCATTTTCCACTCACAGATGTAGTTGCTCAGCCAAGACACGTTCCAAATCTGGCTTTTTTAGCTTAGAGCTTGAGCTATATGCTAACATTGCTAACACCAGAAGTCAATAGTCACCCAGATCTTTTCCATGAATACAACTCCAAAACTTCTCTCAGCCCACATCCATGTCTTCAGTTAGGTCACACAGCTGCAGAGGATACTGTATGACTTAGTGGAAGCTATAAAAATGAATAAAACTTGTAGCTAAAGTTGTCAAAAGTAGTCTAAAGTGGCTGCCTGCTGCATTCAGCTGCACAGTGAAGATTTATTGTTGTATAGTTCGCAGTAAGTCATACTGTGCTCTAAACCACATCGACCAGTCTGTGTCACCCTCATGTAGACCTGGATATGGTTTGAGTGAGCTGAAAGCAGTTTTGGGGACGTATTTACAGAAAAGATTTGGGTGACTATTGACTTCTAGTATTTTTCAGCAACATTAGCCTCATAGCTCCAGCGCTAAATTAAAGACGCAAAGTTTGGACACCAAACATCTCTTGGCTGATCGGCTACATCTGATAGGAGTGGCAAACTGAGAGATTTTTCAAAACTAATTTCGTCTTTTAAATTGTAGTGAAACAGTAGAAGCCACTTCGCCTCCTACACTTCCTGTAGCATACTGCACTCTGTCTTAATGAACAAGTGTATCACATGAACTTTACAGAGCGTTATAATTTTTCCCTTATCGTTTGTACATCACAATTGTGATAAAGGGCCTAAAAGAATTGTCATTTAAAGTTATTGTTAATTCTTGGCGGAGGAGTAGAAGTTGTTTCTCTAAGATGAACCAATTTACTTCAAACAACCCTGAATGACTTGGCTTATCTTGAACACATTATACTGAAATTTTGAAAAATCACTGGAATTCTCCTTTTAAGTGAACAACATGTTGACTTTTAAGCCCTACTCCCAATCACAACAGCCTCCGCGTCCCAATCACTTGAAAATGTTTTCATTTGAATTTTCTGTTTTTTCTTTTTCTTCTTTTTTCTTTCTTTCTTTCTTTCTTTTTTTTTGTGAAATCGCTTCCTGTCACTTGCCACATCCTCCAGAGAGTCACGCATTGGAGTGCTAACGCATTTCCTGCGTGTTCTCTCTAGCGTCGCTGCAGCCATGGTGAGCTACTGTCCCATCTGCGGAAAGCCCGTCTATTTCGGTGAGTCCAGTCGTGTCCGGCCCGTCTCTGTCCTACGAATACATCACTTCAGTTAGGCCTAAATAAACAGCACTAAATACTGTATTCTTTTTTCAATGTAAGTCAATGAGAAATGGAACTTAAGTGCCATAGTGTGCTGTTAAAGTACTATCCTGATTCAGTGTTTACAATATTACTTAAGTGGAGTTTAAGAAAGTAGTTTGGATGTAGCTTTAGCTTTATTTGGCTATCGTGCTAAACATCTAGTTCGGTTTTGTTTCCCTGTTGTTACCTTCAAATTTCATAGCTATGCTGCATTGGCTGGTCTAGATGTCAATCACTGGACTTGCCACATCACATCACTACCCAAACAATGACTCGTAAGCTGTCTTGTGAAATGCTGTAGCAAGGCGCCATCCTGCACTGCCAGCATTTCTACTACTCATTCAAACTGTGTCAGTCTGTTTAGCCAGAGATTAAACTGACACACTTGTCTCTTTTACCCCAAATGTAGTTGATCAGCCAAGAAATGTTTGGTGTCTGAAGTTTTCTTCTTTAGTTGAGCTACGAGGCTAATGTGGCTAACAAATAATAAAAGCTTATAGCCACCAGTTTACCATTGTGCTAACTGTATACCTAGATCATCGCACACTTGGCTCAAACTGTGTGGAGTTGTTGAGTAATCTCAAATAGACGTCCTTATGTGGTTTCTGACACTGTATGACACACTGTTATCTAATAATGGACAAAATTAGCTAGTATTGTTAGAAACAGTGGAACAGCCTGAATTCTGTCTCAAGTGGTCTGAATTTTGTCAGCCCATCTAACAGATGTGTAAGTGTGGCTCAAAAAAGGCCAAAACAGGCCTTAGCCAGGTCCCAGTGATGGTTGGAAATGAAGGCCAGGCTTTGGCAGGTTGCTAAGCTTTGTTTTTTTCAGTCAAGACTGGACTCCACCACAGAGTTAACATCAGTCGTCCACTTTTCAAATGTTTGAAATGCAAGCTTGAGTCAAATAATATATCCCAGAAATTTCTCCAGTGCCTGTTTTGTTAGAATGTTGTTAGCTCATGAGAGGAGAATGTCTATGAGGTGTTTATATATGGCAGCGTAAAAACGCTGTACATGAAGTAAAAGCATTGATGTTGCTTTTCTGCCATCTTATGTTATTTCATAATCAAAAATAATCAAAATGTTATAAGTGAACGCAGTGCATGACTTCATGTCATCATTCAATGAATGTCAAAACATCTATTTAACGCTCGCTAAAAGTAAACAGCGCCGCTAGGAGAGAGGAGCTGGTTAGCATTAGCTTAGCTAACATGCTAACAGCTCTGCTCACCATGGACAAAGTGTTCGATTCTGACTAACTAAAACACTGACATGTGTTAAGATAACAGTGATTCAAATCTGAGGGAGTGAAGTTGAGTTACTGGCACTAAAATGACAGAAAGGCAGTATTAAACCTGCTCTGTGGTGTTTGAATCTCTAGGTTGATGGTCTAACTTGACTTTAGCTTAGTGAGCAGACTACAGACCCAAACAATGGCCGCGTTCCAATTGTGTACTACACACTAATACTATACGGTATATACTGCGTACTAATCTTAATGGTATGAGCTCGACAGGTTAGTATACAAAATATTAACATACCACACCATTCTTACTAACAGGAAGTGACGAACCATCGCTATGACAACGCACATTGTAGCAAGCTAGACTCTGAAGGCTAGCTAACAAATTAACGTGCGTTCACACAAAATTTCTTACAGAAAGCAGACAAATGAAAACATTAGTAAGTGTAACACATTTGTTTTTACAGAATATTTTACAAATTTGGGATGAACTCACATTTATACACTATTTCTGGTCCCGCTACCACCGCAGCTGCTCTCGCGTCGCCGTCCGCCAGTTTTTCAGAATTTTCCAGACGCGAGAAGCTCCTCTCTTTCCATTTCCCGTTGGATTGTGGGACAATAGTGTCCATCATTACTATACTCAAAAATCGACTGGTTCCAAGTATGCATTGAGGATTTTTGAGTATACTCAATTTTGTCACTTGTGACTATACTACATACTACATACTCAAACACTAGTTAGTATTAGCATTAAGTGCGCAATTGGGACACAGCGAATGCCTCACACCACAGTACAGGCCTGATTTTGACCAACAGCTGCTCTGCTGAAACAAGTGTAGATGTCCAAAACTAATGTTTTTGAAAGAGCAAATATGGAGTGACTGATGTTGTAGTGACAGAAAGCCAAACTGAAACCTGTTTTGTGATGTTTGGGACTGTAGTGTTGTGGCTAAGCTAAGGATAGCTTAGTTAGCAGGCTAAATGTGCCACACACCAGCACAGGCTTGGTTCCAGCCAACAGATGCTAAAAAGACACATGTTTAGAGGATATCTGAGCGCACAAAGTCGAGTGACTGGTGTGACTGTGGTGTTTGTAGCTTTTAGGCGTCACTAAGCTGCCATCATGCTTAGTTTTTCTGAGGTTTTTCCTGGCTCTGATTTTCCACTCTATCAGTGCTACCTACGCTGAGGTCCCCCACCACCAATTCATGAGCCCCTCTTAAATAAAAATGAACGGAATGTGTTAATTTAGGCACTTAGACATGATAAAAAGTATGAAATTAAATGAAATATAAATTTGGCACTTTATCATTTTGAAATACTGTCACCATGTTTAAATACCACTGTGCCTTATTACCTTTATACCACTCAACCCTAGTTGCCAGCGCTGTGTTCCATTTCTAAAGCTGACTGAAACCTGGTTAGAGTGAAGTTTTTTCTCATGGAATTAGTTCCTTTCTTTGTAAATTGAAACATAAGTGGTTGATTCCACTGTCACATCCTAATTATCTCACATGAGGTCTTCAGTTTAGCTTCTAAAGAGCCTAACCTATGAGATTCCAACCAAAACAATGGAATAGATAGTATTAGTACAATACAATACAGTGGTTAAAATGCATCAGGCATGATACTACTAAATAAGAAATGAGTGTTTTTTTTCACAGAAATCCTTAGGCCTTCCCTGAAGGCCTAGAAGGCCCTGAGGGCTCCTCACTTCTATTTAGCTACTATTACTGTATGCTGTACAGACTCCACTATAAAATTACAGTGGGCTTTTCAAGCACAGGACCTTTTTTAAATTGAAGCTGGACTCCTAGACATTGGTTCACTGTGTATATGTATGTCTGTATCTGTGTGTGAGTGCACTTAACTGCTGTCAGGTTGTCTCCATGAGTCAGCCGATCACAGGAAGTGAGCTGGAGCTTTGGGTTTGTGGCAGGAAGTGGAATTGGCCCGAGAGAGCATGAAAGAGAGTGAGAGCGAGACAGAGAGAGGGAGACTGAGAGTGACTGTTTAAACTGGCATTTGCAAGGCTAACGGCCAGGGCCGCTTAAAGAAAGAAAGCCAAACTGTGCTAGCTCCGGAAGCTAACAGCTAGCTCTGAGGCAGGGAGGAGCGTTCCTGGACTCCGTTTCTGTACAAGGTCTCTAGAGTTCTGGAGTTTGGACTGTAGGCTGTACAAGACATGTTGATTTTGCATCAGAATGTGAAACTGAGCCGAGAAGGAGCGAACGTGAATGTCAAACTGATCCAAGATGGCAGCCAAAGAGGCAAAGTTAAACTGATACAAAATGGACACTCAAGATATTTAACATGACCTCCGGCACAGCCTTACAAAAAAGAACCTTAAAAAGCAATATACAGACAGTGCATGTGTATATCATACATATCATACACAGCCAATGACTGTATATATTGTATATATCGTATATATCATATATACAGTGAGTGTATGTAGCAATGAAAGTACTGACACTCGTAAACTCAGGTAACCACTATTTATAATTACCATTTGTGTATCAGTCATTTGAATGTAGCTTCCTTATGGTAAACTCAGAAACTCTCCACTTTGCAAACACTACTCAAATGTACCATTACCTCCATATGATATGTTCCCTGTTGGTTGGCCACCAGGATTGCAACATTACAGTGTTTTTTAAGCTGTCCTGTGAAATCCAATACTACAGCTTGCCTGTAGGCCTCGTTTGGAATCGAGGAACGGAGGGATTGAGCCGTCCAGTTGTTGTCAGCCCCCTGGCTTAAGCGTGGAGATGTGCAGTCTCGCCTGACCTCTTGATCTTTGACCCCTGCAGGTGAGAAGAAAAGGTCTCTTGGGCGGGATTATCACCCACTGTGCCTGAAGTGCCACAGGTGTAAGAGACAGCTCACTCCTGGCCAACATGCAGAGGTACACCTACATACCTAAACTAAAGTACCCACTTTAGTTATTCCACATGGTCACCATTAAGCTTCCATTTCATTTCAATGTGGTTTACATATGAAAATCTGTAATATATAACTGAATCAATGAGGCAAAGACTTTTTCTTTGTGTGCTTTCGTTCCAGCACGATGAGAAGCCCTACTGCACAAACTGCTACATGAGAGACTTTGGACCTAGAGGTGAGAACTTGGCACAGTCTGACCGTAGAATACGGCACCTAATGCCACAAGTAATCTTTCTACCTTTCCCCCTGCAGGTGGTAGAGGACCACTGAATCGTACCTGTAACACTGCTGCCTCTTAAGACATATGTATCTGTAGCACCTGTAACATCTCCATCCACCTCCACAACATCCCCAAACTGCTAGAACTTGGTCTACACCTGTTAGATCTCCATCATCAACTGCTACAACCTGGTCATTATCTCCATCCTCAACTGTTAGATCTCCATTCGGAATTTGTAAACTTTGTCTACATCTGTTAGATCGCCATTTCAAAATGCTAGAACCACATCCACACCTGCAAGGCTTCCATGTCCAACTGTTTGACCTCCATCCTTAACTGCTAGACCTTGGTCTACTTCTGTTGAAGCTCCATCCTCAACGGATCTCCAACTGTAAGGTCTCCCCCCTCAACAGCTAGAACCTGGTCTACATCTGTTAGATCTCCATCCCCAACTGCTAGAATCCCATCTATACCTCCAAGGCTTCCATCTCCAACTGGTAGATCTCCATTCTGAACTCTTAGAACCTGGTCTACATCCATTAGATCTCCATTCTCAACTCTTAGAACCTGGCCTACATCTGCTAGATCTCTAAATCTCCAACGGTTAAAAGTAGTTTACACCTGTTAAATCTTCACTTCCAACAATTAGATCGCCGTTCTTGACTGTTAAAACCTGGTTAACATCTGCTGGATGCCCTTCCCAATTTTTAGAATCTGGTCTACATCTGCTGGACATCACCCCCAACTAGTAGATCACCATTCTCAACTTCTAGAACATGGTCCACTTCTACTGGATCCATATAGATCTACACCTGCTAGATCTCCATGTGTTTAAATCTCTACCCCTAACTGCTAGAACCTGCTAGAGCTCCATTTCCAACTGTTAGATCTCCAATCACAGCTGTCAGAACTTGGTCTATATCTATTAGGTCTCCAACTGCAAGGAAGTAGTCTCAATCTGCATCTCCAACTATTAGGTCTCCAACCTCAGTTGAATTGAATAGAACTACTGGAATAATCTAAATATATAGTTCCTCATCCTCAACTCCATCAGCAAAACAACTAACCTGCTCCAGCCTTGTTCATCCTGATCTACATTCCCAACATGAAACTCGTTTGTAAACCCTCATCACACGTGACGTTGGCCCTTTGGAAGATGTTCAGTCGCGGCTGAGAGAGTGTACATGCAATATTTGACAATAAAGTCAAAGCCGTTTCAACGCTGTCAGTGCAGCAGTTCTGCTTTTGGCTCTGAAATTTCCTTCAGATGGTTTCAGTTTGGCCTACAAAGCAAATCTGCGTACAATTCAGTAATCGATTAAATCAAAATATGACGTAACCTTTTCATCCTCTGTCGCTCTCTCTGGGTTTGGAGGATCGTAGCGTCGGAAGCAAAGGGCCGCTTTGTTGAGGAAGCAAAATTATCTACGGACTGAAAAAAGGGAGCAGGCATTAAAGGAATACTCCGGTTTAGCAGCATTTAACAAACTTGTAATAGAAGCCAATGGGCAGTTGCTTCAGCACCTTATGGAGGGTGGGTTGTTTTATTGAAACTCCAACTGGAGATAATTTGATATTTGTATTTCTTTGGAATGTATATATGCTGTATGTCTGATAATGCGGAATTCCACCAATTTTTAGAATTTTTCTGCATATTTTAGTTGGTGAGATGTAAACAAAGTCATTTGGAGTGGTTTAATATGAAATGGTTAATTGTAGAGAAACTTACCAGCTCTTTTCTTTCAGTGCTGTGGATGGGAACCAGGCATCACAATGTCTATATACACTCAAATGTTACCATTTTATAAACTAAAATATAGACATACATATATATATATAATGTAGGTAAAATATTTTTGTGTTGTAGTTTAGGGCATCTGGTTCTCCATGACTCCATTTTAAATCAAACCTATCTGTTTACATCTGAAAAATGGGTGGAATTCCCCTTTAAAGAGTATTAAATGTAATTGTTTTAACAGCTGGTGAATTTGAACATAAATTCAGTTTTGCAACATTTGAAGATTTGTCCTACATGGATTTATTAAACATATTCTGTGGGCTGATTTGATGGGTGCGTGATGTTGCTGGAAGCAAATGTGTGACATACTTAAGGAGCTCATGGTGAAATAAAAGATACTGTACACACACACACACACACACACACACACACACACACACACACACACACACACACAGATGTCAAATACAATTTGGCAGATCAGAACTCACAACCTCTTCTCATTTGGAAGGAGATACAGAGAAAGTGAAAGATATATATATATTATATATATATATATATATATATATATATATATATATATATATATATATATAATATATATATATATCCAGAAAACAGCTAATACAATAACATTAATACAGTAAGTAAAGATTTTTGGTATGTCTATGTGTTTAACCAGCTCCAAACCTCTCCTGGAGGAAAGCTAGTATTAATTATAGTTATCATTCAATACCTGGTCTGTCTTCATTTAATTAAATGAATTGTGATGGTGGTGCAGTTTAATAAATGTATGCGACGGCTGGAGGCGTCAAGGACGAATCTGGAACAAATTTTGTTCAAGCTGGTTCACAAGATATCAACTACTTTTTGAAGAACAAATTTATTTGTTTATTTGTTCATTCTAATGATATATGATGATTTTACCAGCACAAACACAGTTACTGCCAAGAAGCATGATCTCAAAGAGAGGGACAGAGAGGTAGAAAGATAGAGAGAGAAAGAGAAAGAGAGGTATAAAAATACAAAGGGAGAGAAAGATACAGCGAGAAAGGGAAACAGAAAAAAGAGACAGAGAGAAAGGGAGAGAGAGCGTGAGACTGATAGAGAAAGACAGACAGACAAAGGGAAAGAGATATAGCAAGATACAAAGAGAGGGGTAGAAAGATAGAGAGAGAGGGAGAGAGAGAGAGAGAGAGAGAAAGAGACAGAGAGAGAACACGCTGGCAGGACCGAATCTTCTCAGTGCCAGGGCGGTCTCCTGGAATGTGTGTGTGTGTGTGTGTGTGTGTGTGTGTGTGTGTGTGTGTGTGTGTGTGTGTGAGTTGTCAGCTCCGCTGGCAGAAACTTCCTGCTGAATACCTGCTGCTGGTCTGGCGCACACACACATATACACACAGACAGACACACACACAGACACACACATCCATGTGTTTTCTGCGTGTACACATACAAACACACACATACACACCTCTGTGTTTTACTCAGGAAAGACACAAACACTCTGACCTTCAGTTCTCTTTAATTAAACAGAGAGAGAATGAGGAGAGAAAGAAAGAGGTAGAGAAAGAGTGAAGGAAAAAGGGAGAGAGAAAGGAGGAGGTGAGAGTAGAGAGAGAAGGAGGGATGAGATGGAAGGAGAGAAAGAGTGGAGTGAGAGGAGGTAGAAAAAGAGAAAAAGGGAGGGAAAGAGAAGATGAAGAAAGAGTGAGAGAGAGAGAGAGCATGGAAGGAAGGGAGAGAAAATAGAGAGACAGAAGGAGGTAGATAATTGAGAGAAGGAGAGAAAGAACCAGAGAGAGAAAGAGGTACAGAAAAAGGAGGAGAGAGAGAAAGGGATGGACAGAAGGGGGGAGGACAGAAAGAGCTGAGGAATACAGGAGGTAGAGAAAGAGAGAGAGAAAGAGGATGAGGGAGGGAGAGAGGGGAGGAGAGAAAAAGTAAAGAGAAAAAGAGAGACAGAAGGAGGTAGAGAAAGAGAGAGGGAGGGAGAGAGGGGGAGGGGAGAGAAAGAGTGGATAAAGAAGGATGTAGAGAGAGAGGAAACCAAGCATAAAAAGAATGGAGTGATGATTGGAGGGAGGGAGAGAGTATAGAAAGAGTAGAGGAAAACAGTAGGTAGAGAAAGAGAGAAGGAAGGAGGGAGAGAGTGAAGATAAAAGAATAGAGAAAAAAGGAGGTAGAGAAAGAAAAAAGGATGGAGAGGAAAAAGTGGGGGAGGATAAAAAGAGTAGAGGGAGAAGGAGGGAGGGAGAGAGAGTAGGAGGAGAGAAAAAGTAGGGAGGGGGAGAGAGGGAAAGGAGACAGAGTAAAGAGAGAGGAGGGAGAGAAAGAGAGAAGGAGGGAGGAAGAGAGAAGGAGAGAAAAAGTACAGAGAGAAGGAGGAAGAAGAGAGAAAAAGTAGGAAGAGAGAGGGAAAGAGAGAGAATTTGGGAGGGAGAGGAGAGAAAGAGTGGATAAAGAAGGACATAGAGAAAGAAGGAGGTAGAGAAGAGAGAAGGAAGGATGGAGAAGAAAAAGTGGGGGAAGAGAGGGAGGGGAGGAGAGAAAGAATAGAGAGAGAAGGAGGGAGAGAAAGAGAAGTAGGGAGGGAGAAAGAGAGGGGAGGAGAGAAAGAGTAGCGAGAGAGAAGGAGGGAGAGAAGGAGAGAGAGAGAGAGAGAGGAAAAAAGACATAAAAGGATGGAGGGATGATTGGAGGGAGGGAGAGGTGCGGTACGTGTGTGTGGAAGTTCCTCACTGCAGTGCGTCTCTGAACCCCCACCTTGACAGGTCACATGGTGTGAGTGTGATGCCAGCTGTCTAATTTGCATACGTTTTAACTACACTACACATCTATCATTACAAAGAGAGAGAGAAAGGAAAAAAGAGAGAGAGCGAAAATAGAGAGGAAGAGACAGAGAGAAAAGAAAAGAGAGAGAGAGAGAGGAAGAGAAGGAGGAAAAGAATGAGGTGGAAAGAGAGAAGAGGGAGAGAGACATAGAGAAAAGGAGGGAGAGAGAGAGAAAAACAGCCTCACAGTCACAGCAGGTTGGTGTGTCTGTGAGAGAACAGAGGGGCCTCCTGTAACCCCCCCAGCATATTAAATCATCTTATAATAAAGTGCTGCTGTGTCACACTGTCGCATGCATATATACATACATTTGTGTTTCAATCAGGACAGGGGCGGGTCTATTTATGCAAATTAACCTTGGCCTGGATTAATAATTCAGTGTCTATATGGGGGTGGTGTGTGTGAGTGCTGTGTGATGAAGGGGGGGGGGTCATATTCATATTTCTCACTCTTTCTGAAGGTGTCATACAGCAGCACACTTTAGACATCTTGCTAATTTAAACTGTGTATATACATATATATATTATATATATACATATATATATATATATATATATATATATATATACATATATATATATATATATATACTGATCATGCATAACATACAATTATTGTATTTTATTTTATCAGCTCCACTTACCATATAGGTGCCCACATATATGGGTGGTGGATCATTCTCAGCACTGCAGTAACACTGATGTGGTGGTGGTGTGTTAGTGTGTGTTGCGC